GCAGGGAGCCCGATGCGGGACTGGATCCCGGGACTCCAGGATCATGACCTGAGCCGAAGGCAGTCACTTAACCAACTGAGCCACCCAGGCGCCCCTAAAGAAATAAAATCTTAAAAAAAAAAAGGTAGAAACCCGATAGGACAGAAATAGTTCAATGTGCAGAAATATTTCTATGTGCAGAAGGAGGACATGACAAGGGCAGCTTCATGTGTCGGGAGCACAGGGGACAGGATGAGGGGCAGGAATGCACCTCAAAAGGCACTGGGCACTAAAGGCCAACTCCCCTAGGCCCACAGCTGGGCTTTTCTCGAGGCTATGGTCTGACCCTGTCGGGTGAAGGTCAGCCTCCCCCTTGCTGGTCAAAGAGCCCAAAGGACCCCAAGGCCCCTCTTCTGGGTGAAGTGGAGAGAAGGGCTGAGTAGTGGAGAAGGATGAAACACTCTGAACTGTGCACAACTCCGGATTCCTTGATTATTAAAATGAAGGTGTTTTATTTTATTTTTATTATTATTTCTTGGATGAATGTGTTAAAATGGCTTCAGAGACTGGGCCAAGGCACTAGACGTCAGGAAGATGGACAGCTCAGTCCTGGTAAGGGAGAGCTCTGGAGAACAAGTGAGTCCCAGGGTCAGGAAGATAGGGCACTGTTTTGAAATAGTGACCTTTTTGTCCCTTGCATTTTGAGGGGAATTGCTACATTTCCTTTTTAAGTTAAAAGTAGCTATCCGTCTCTATCCTTTTCTAGGGCTCTTATGTTGAGGTTTACTTGGTTTGGACTTTCTCTGGTGTGTCAAACTTCTTTCATGCAAGGTTGTAAGATTCTGGAATTTCTAAAACATGCCTTTTTTTAATGCAAAGTGGGAATATACTTACGGATGTGCTCTTCAACCCTCAAAGGCCTTAACGCTTAATGCTATTGCTTGCTTAAAATCAAGTGTCCCATTGAGCCAAAGAGTTCTCTGGATTTAAAAGAGGGGAAATAAGTCCACCTGAAATTCATATGGAGGAAAAAGAAGCGTTTGGGAGTTTGGGGAAGGAGGGAGGAGAGAGGACAGGAGGAGAGGAGAGGAGGAAGCCAGAAAGTGGGAAATGGGAGGGGAAAACAAGTGGAAGAGGGCCACTGCACAATGGCCTTGGGGAAATTTTTAGAAGACTCCTTCCCTTCTAACACCCCAGTACTTAGCAAAACTGGATTTTACAGTCTTTGCCAAAGATTCCAGACTTTTTCCCAGAGGGCAGAGCCTGTGACAGTGTGACTCACCAGAAACAGAGCTCAGCACAACACCATGTGCCGATAAGTGCTTAATACAGCCTTTTTTTGGAAGATGATATTTTCGAGAGGGCAGAGCCTTGTGACACTGCTCCCCGAGGGGCCTTCTGAGTGCAGATTCTGAAGGAGCTCAGGGTGCGGGGCGGGGGCGGCGAGAGGGTGACCCTGCCTCTTGTGAAGCCGCTGCAGCTCGGGGGCCCAAGGCAGCAGGCGAGAGCGGCGTGTCTGTGGGAAGGTGGCCGCGCGGCAGCTAGCTCCGGATCTAGAGGGGAGGCGATTTTGCCCAACACTCCCGCCGGCTGGGGGCTTTTCAGGGAACAAATGCCGAATCCCTGCGAGGAGGTGACTGCTGAAGGCTTCTCCCTTCGGGGGAGGGAGAGAAGTCCAGGGTGACAGGCTGAAGTGGCCCTAGACCACAGCCAGCGATAGGAGGAGTGCCAGCCCCCACAGGGCCAGGGTGAAGAGGTCTGGGCAAGCTCTTCCCCGGCCCCGGAACAGGGTGTGGCCTCTGCTGGGCTGCCTCACCGGGGCCCCTGCAGGGGGATGGGGGACTGTGTTATTGGATTGGGGGCTACTCTCTTAATTACCAGGGCCATCTCGAGGGCTTCGAAGCCCCATTTGGTGTCTCCAATCATGTATCCCCGCCCCCTCCCGATCACAACATTTATAATCCAGTGTTTCCTGGTTAACATGAACATCCAGGAAAGCTTCCAATGAGTAGACAACAATAACAACAACAACAACAACAATAATAATAACTGCTATTTATTGATTAAACCAAGAGCCTGGGCTAGGTGCTTTGCATGCACTATCTAATTTGATCTTCACAGCTGCCCTATGCAAATCGGACTGTTATTATCATTCCTATTTTATAGATACGGAGACCAAAGGTAGGTTAAATAACTTGCCTAAAGGCACTTGGATCTGAGCTCCCGTCTTTGACCCTTGAGCCCAAGCACTCCTCTGTCTCACTACCCTGCCTTCCCTGGGACAGGGTCCGGATTTCCACGTGGATTCAGAGCCCATGCTCTTTACCGCGGCTCTCTGCTCTGGGGGGGCAATCTCTGGCCCCCGGGCAGTGTGCTCAGGGGCGGGTAGCAGGTGGAGCAGCCAGCCTTGTGGGCTCTTCTAGGCCAGGGACCCAGGGTTATAGCCCTGGAACTCAGGAGCCTTCAAGATGTCTCCTTCAACTGCACCCCAGACACTGAGTTGAGTGCCTGGGTTTTACTTTTTGCACCTTGACTGTCTCCCTTTGGATGTGGAGAATCGGAGAATGTTCAGAGATGGAAGAGACCTTAAAGAATCTCTAACCCAGTGTCCTCATTTAACAGAGAGGAAACTGAGGCTTGGAGAGGGAAGGTGACTTGCCCAAGATCACACAGGGACAGGCCTACCGCTCAGGTCTCCCCATTCCCTGGCCAGTGCTCTTCCCTGGCAATTTGGGCTAGTCCCATGGTGTGCCCAACCGATGCAGTTACCTGTGACAGGGACACGAGGGGCATCATATAGGAAAGATGACAGGTCTTCCTGACATCAGCCTTTAAGGACAGGATGTGTCCATCTCCTACAGGTTTAGCTCAATCATACTGAGCTTGCCACAGCCCAAAAGCACTGAAAAATGCCGGATAGGAGTCGAGGCTGGGGGGGGCGGATGGAGGAGGTAAGAGAGGGGAGGCTCAGAACTAATTTTTGAGCCATTCTTTGTAAATTCTCATGGAATTTACCCCTGCTCCTGTCTAGTTTGGTTCTCCCCCCGACAGCTGGGCACCCCCTCTGCCCCAGCCCTCCAGACCAGGGGCGAACTGCAGGTCAGCCATGGCCGTGGGCAGGTGCTGCCCAGGACTGTGGACTCTCTTCCTCTGCTGAGCACTTGGACCAACACCTTCCTGTGTTACATTACTGAGTGGATGGAGGCTGAGCTAAGTGTTCCCTCAGAAGCTGCCTGCAGTCAGAATGACATCATGTCTTCCTTAGGGCTTCTGAGCTTCCATCTTCTGCCAGTTCGCTTAATGGCTAATTATCTCTTAGTGTGTGTTTCTCTGTCGGCCTTGCTGCCTCTCTTTCTGCACGTGAGTTTCTCTTTGTCTCTGTCCTCCTTTGCCATTCTCTGTGTCAGCGTCTTGTGTGAATGGGTGTGTATCTTAGACGCAGATGGGACAGTCCAGCTAGTTGAAAAAAGATTTGTTTTAGACTTTTCCCATCATCCATTCGGGCATCCTCCGAAGGTTACAGATGTATTTGTCTCCCTTTTTCCATTTCTACCCTCCCCCACCGGCCTCCAACAAAAGGACATTCATCTATAGAAAGTTGCCAGATATGTTCCCCAGGGAAAAGAAATACCCATGTCAGCTAAGAGCACGTGCAGGGGTGGGGGACTTGCTGAAACTTGCTCAGGCAGCGGTAGCCCCAGGAAAATGGTTTAAAAAACTAGATTTGTCTTTGGCAGCTCCCCACACTCTGCCCCTCGACCCTCCTCCAATAGGACAGGACCCCCTGTCCCTTTGGGCCTGCCCCCAGCCACCCATCGCATGTTGCTGGCTTTACTCTCTTCTCCCCCTCCCCAGTGACTGCCTTAGCTTTGGCTCTCGCCCATCATCAAGAAGCCAAGCTTTCTGGGCTTTCCAGGAGGAGAACCAGTGGATCCAAGGACCAGTGCTACCAGGACGGCTGATGGGCCTTCTGAGACAATGGCAACAACTAGCTCTTGCAGAACACTTCTATTTTGCAAAAGCTCTTTCTTGTGTGTTATTTAATTTGCCTAGTCACTTACTCCGCTACTAAGTAGAGGAGCTGGAACCCAGGTCTCTCAATTCCAAGGCTACTGCTGCTGCATTTCCCACAGCACCTGCTCAATTAGTTGTCAGGCCAGACTTGATGGTGGAGGTTTCGGGCCAGGGAGGAAGGGAGAGTGCGCATTAGGCGCTGTGTCATGTACTTATAAGGAACGCTAATGCTTACAGCATCCCCACAAGACTGCTGAGGTTCTCCTCAGTTTGCAGGGGAGGACACTGAAGGTAGAGTAAGTAACTTGCCTAAGGACACCTGACTAGTAATAGCACATGATTGTGCTGAGGTTTGTATCCAAGTTGGTTTGCTTCCTCTATGCCCCCACTAGCCCTTGGAGAGAATAGAGGATCTGGGGAGCATGTAGGTGGCTAAGGGGCAGTCAGCACCCCTGGCTACTGTGTGGATGCAGGGCCCACAGGAAAGGAAGAATGGATGAGAGGAGTACCAGCTGGAAAGCGGAAGGAGCTGCTTTCACTGTCTGGCAGGGATTGTGGGTTTGGGAGGATGCTAAGAACAGGGACACCAAACCCCCAAACAAAATGAAGTCATTTGTGTGCAGTGAACCGACTGCTGTGCTCTCCCTTTGTGATGGCTCTGAGGCCAAACCATCCATTCTGATTTTCTGCTGTGAGCAGCCTGTTTCCTGGCTCACTGCTGGCCACAGAGAGGGGTGCAAAGAACTTTAAGGTGGGGTTTATAAGGAGCTAGAACGGGAGCAGTGTTACAGTTTAAATTCTGAGCCTCCAGACAAAAGCTTCAGGGCTCCCCATGGCATTGGAAAGGCAAAGGAGGTCTACAGCAGAAAGGGTCTTTCCCCCACAGCTCCGGCAGTTTGGATGGTGTATACAATTCTGAAGCCAAAGAAAAGCCAAACAGCCAACCTACTCAGCCCCAAACACCTCACACACTCCCACCCGTGTTCCTGCTAGTGGCAGGTATTTTTAGAGTTCTGAGCTCATGGTGTTAAAGCATCTGCCACATGCCTGAGGGCTGGTAGGGATTCAGCCTTGCTCAGAGGCAGGAGTTAGGACTACTGGAGGGTGGGGGTGGGGAGCCAAGTGGTAATGATATTCTTGTGCTATACCCGCTCTCTTCCCACTGACCTCCATCCCTTTCCTCGCCCGCTCTCCCTTCCTCCCTGCTCAGAGCACTGGCGAGGTGGAAGAAATGAAATCTTTTCTGTCTCTGCTTTCTGACGCAAATCAGTGTTCAAGGACTTATGTTTTCCTGCGTAACCAAAGTCGAACGTTCTCTCTGAAATCGCCTTGGCAGATATGTAGGATGCCAGACTGCTTGTAGTTTTGGTGGCTCAGGCCAGTACTGCTTTTTGATGATGATGATGGATGATGATGATGGTGATGATGATGATGGTGGCAACCATGGTGACAAGTGATCTGATGCAGAAAAAGAACTGCTTACAAGTTTGGCTGGAGAAATGCCAAGAGCACTGATTAAATAACTAGAGAACAAATAATATATTCTAAGTGGTGTGGTACAGGGGCACCTGGGTGGCGCAGTTGGTTAAGGGTCTGCCTTTGGCTCGGGTCGTGATCTTGGGGTCCTGGGATTGAGCCCTGTGTCGGGCTCCCTGCTCAGCGGGGAGCCTGCTTCTCCCTTTCCCCCTGCCCCTCCCCCCTGCTTATTCCCTCTCTCCTCCCCTCAAAATCTTTAAAAAAATAAATGGTGTGGTACAGACTCAAAGTGCAATAGAAAGTTTTAAGAAAAGAGAATTTAAGAGAAGTTGGAGAAAAATGGAGTTTTAGGAAGAAGGCAGATGTGAGCTGAGCCTTGAAGGATGGGTGAGACTCAGATAGGGCAATGAGGGGGCACCCAATTCTGCTGGGGAAGGATGGACTAGCACGAGGGAACAAACCGGGTGTAGCCGAGCAGTCTGAAACCAGGCTGGGTGGAGTGGAGACTTCTAGAATCAAAAAGACTCTGCTGTAGTCCAGCAGTGAGGAGAGGAGGGTCTGGCCTAGGGACATGAAAATCAAAATAGAAGAAGGGGTGAATCTGACAATTGTGCCAAAGGAATGTGGCAGTCATGTCCCTAGAGGAGATGAAGGGGAGCCTGGACAATGAAAATTGATGTTCAGAATGATGAGGACTCTGGGGCCCTGTAAGATCTTCACTCAGCAAAGAGATTCAATTATATTTACCAGATACTCACTGACTGCTAACTCCAAATAAAGGCTATACTTGGTTTTAAAGAGCTGTAGTAGTCAATTAGTGACCATAATCCAATTTTCTTTGATAACTGAGAATTGTATAGGGCCTTGGGACCATCATTCTGATTATGAATTTCTCTTGTCCAAGACTTTGGATGTATAAAGGGAAGTAGATGGGGCTGAATGTGTGTCGACTCCAGGATATCCCTTGGGAGTTGCATCTTTGTATATGTTACTGATATCAGCATTTTTCCTTCATAATTTGGCCTTTATCCTAAAAGCTGAGATGCAGAAGAAAAATCCAGTGAGCTAAATTGCCTTTTACATACCAAAAAAGTGAACTTAAAATAAGCTAAAAGATGAGACTTTTAACACTAACTTCATTTTCTTTAAAAAGTCATGCAAAGAATGCAAGACAAAGTGATATATGTTTATAGTAGAAAATTTGGAAAATACAAAAAAGAAAGAAAATAAATACCATCTATAGCCCACGGCCCATAAATAACCATTAATCTCCTGGTACGTATGCTTCCAGTCTTTCCTAGGCATATATCTATGTTTAATATTTTTCTGAAAAATTGGGACCATAGTATATGAAAGATTTTGTATCCTGCTTTTTTACTTCCTGATACTTTTTTTTTTTTAAAGATTATTTATTTATTTATTTCACAGAGAGAAACACAGCAAGAGAGGGAACACAAGCAGGGGGAGCGGGAGAGGGAGAAGCAGGCTTCCCACTGTGCAGGGAGCCTGATGTGGGGCTCGATTCCAGGACCCTGGGATCATGACCTGAGCCGAAGGCAGACGCCCAACGACTGAGCCACCCAGGCGCCCCTCTTCCTGATACTTTATGAGAATTTCCTCTTTGAAAACATTATTTTTAATGTCTGCATAATAGTCCATTGTATAGATATGTACATTCATTTTAGCTGTTCTCTTACTGATATTTTAGGTTATTTCCTGTTTTTAAAAAAGTATAAATAATACTGCAATTAAGACCTTTGTACAGAATTTTGACCACATCTCTATTTTATATAGCTTTCTGGAAGTGAGATTACAGACTTGAAGAATTTTGAATATTTTTAAGGTTCTTAATAATATTGCCAAATCGCCCTCCAGAAAAGTTCACCAATTTACATTAATTTTTCAACTAAAAGCCTTAAGATTTTTTTAAAAAGATTTATTTATTTGACAGAGAGAGAGAGAGAGAGTACAAGCAAGGGGAGCGGCGGAGAGAGGGAGAAGCAGGGTCCCACTGAGCAGGGAGCCTAACGTGGGGCTCAATCCCAGGACCCTAACGTGGGGCTCAGTCCCAGGACCCTGGGGTCATGACCTGAGCCAAAGGCAGATGCTTAACCAACTGAGCCACCCAGGTGCCCCCAAGATTTTTTGACTCAAGATTTTCAACTAAAAATTTTAAGAAATATTTTACATCCCTGAGAGAAACCTCTCTCTATACTTTGATAAGTCCACTCTGCCAGTCTGTGTCAGGGCTTCTCACCACATTTTTGTTTTTTGAAGATTTTAATTTTATTTTTTTCAAGATTTTATTTATTTATTTGACAGCGAGAGAGACACAGCGAGAGCGGGAACACAAGCAGGGGGAGTGGGAGAGGGAGAAGCAGGCTCCCCGCTGACCAGGGAGCCCGATGTGGGGCTCGATCCCAGGACCCTGGGATCACGACCAGCACCGAAGGCAGATGCTCAACGACTGAGCCACCCAGGCGCCCCTGTTTTTTGAAGATTTTAAAATTTATTTATTTATTTGTCAGAGAGAGAGAGAATGAATGAGCGCACAAGCAGGGAGAGCGGCAGGCAGAGGGGAAGCAGGCTCCTCGCTGAGCAGGGAGCCCAGTGCGGGACTGGATCCCAGGATCCTGGGATCGTGACCTGAGCCGAAGGCAGACGCTTACCTGACTGAGCCACCTAGGCATCCCTCTCACCACGTTTTTTATAAGATCACAGAATCAAGTTTTCTCCTATGCATTCTTGTTTCCTTTTCTGACTCCAGATACGGGTTTTGTATCTTCCAGGTTCAGGTGTGGGACACAGCAGGTCAGGAACGCTTCCGCAAAAGCATGGTCGAGCATTACTACCGCAATGTGCATGCAGTGGTCTTCGTCTATGACGTCACCAAGATGACATCCTTCACCAACCTCAAGATGTGGATCCAAGAATGCAATGGGCATGCCGTGCCCCCACTAGTCCCCAAAGTGCTTGTGGGCAACAAGTGTGACTTGAGGGAACAGATCCAGGTGCCCTCCAACTTAGCCCTGAAATTTGCCGATGCCCACAACATGCTCTTGTTTGAGACTTCAGCCAAGGACCCCAAAGAGAGCCAGAACGTGGAGTCAATTTTCATGTGCCTGGCTTGCCGATTAAAGGCTCAGAAATCCCTGCTCTATCGTGATGCTGAGAGGCAGCAGGGGAAGGTGCAGAAACTGGAGTTCCCACAGGAAGCTAACAGTAAAACTTCCTGTCCCTGTTGAAACCAAATGGTGTAAATACAAGATCCATTATTACTGGAGTTTTTTCTTTCCCTTTTTTTTCCGTGCCTGCATAACGCTGACACTTGCTTGTTTCCATAAAAATTGATATTAAAATAAAATTTGTATAGATTATCACATGCCTTCATGTCTTGCTTTCCTCCAAGAAGACATTTCTGATTGTGCTGAGTAGAAGAGCAGCCTGCCCTCCTAGAGTGGTACACTTTGCCAAGGCACACTCCCTACCAGCCTTCTATGCCACCTGAATCATTTGAGTCACTTCTTCAGGACTAATTCTTTCTGTTAACTCAGTGTCATCAGTGGGCAGAAACACCCAAAGGGGGTGGGATACAGGCCAGACATGTTTTTCTAGGGTGCCAATGGAGGTGGAGGATAGAGAAGTCTTGAAAGGAGATGTTGACTCACAAGTATTTCCTAGGTTCCCTGGATGTCGAGAGTAGGTGGCTCTCTCCTTATTTCCTTCCCAAAGCTTAAAAATAAAAAGTATAGGTTTCCCAAGGGGCTCAGTTGGCTTCCAAAGTAGTTAAATCCTGCTTCCCATGTTTCACCATGCAGTCTCTGACACCCAGAGTGGTGTTTCTTGAAGAGGGTAAGACTCAAGCCAACAATCTGTTATGCCCCCAGATCCTTGCTGGGTCCTATGGAGGAAACATAGCAAGAAGAGGATTTGTCCCCTATGTTCAAAGACCCTCTGATCTTGTGGGAACAATGTACACACTGAAACCACTTGTGAACGAAAATTAGACAATGACATCACCAAGTTCGAGTCTGCCATGGGAATTGAGAGCGTTATGTACTCAACATTAGGGAGGAGTCACTGAAAAATAACTGACCTTATTTTGTATGTTGAATAGTGTTACATTTGGATTGGTAAAGAAGAGGGGGGTGGGCCAAAGTAGGGAGGCAGGATTGACCTTGGGGGTTGAGTGAAAAGACAAGAGCTGAGCAGCCCTAGTGGGGAGCTGAGGATAGGGAGGCCTGCACAAGAGGCAGGACAGTTTGTTGTTCTTTGAGTCACTGGGAGTTTTTGGTGGCTCTCCAGCAGGAGTCCTGTAGGTATTTCTTAAATGTCTGGTCCTATGGATGTGAAAGCCCCCTGTCCAATTGTTAAAGCAACTAAGAGTGGTTATGAAGGCAGAGCTACAATAGCCCCAGATGGATTTCTTTGTTTTGAGGGTGCTCCTTAAGGCTGCTCTCTTGTCAGAAGCCCACAGAAAGAGGGTCCCAGGCAGACGGCCCCTGAGCACTTTCCTCTGCCAGGTGAATTCAGGTCTGTCCCCTGTCCTCCTCCCCGTCACCCCAGCGAAAGGTAATACGTACCAGATGTGCTTCCCACCCAAACAAGTAGCCTGTCCGGTCCTGCCTAGTTGTCCCTACAACCTTCTTCCTCTAGAACTGGCTAACTCCCCACCCCATCCCCATCCCACCCCCCACCTGGCCTCAAGCTGAGTCCCAGCCCCCAGTCTGGTTTTCATCACTTGGCTTCTGCCTGGATCTGTCTTTGGAACCTGCCTAATACCCTGGTTAGGGCTGTGTTTTCTTACTAGTTGTCCCCACCCAATGCCCTGCCCTTGAATCTCACCCAAGGGGCTGGGAGCCTGTTGTCTGTTGGTGAACTGTCTGCCGAAACCCCTGTTGCTATGCTTCTCCCCAGCAGAATAACCTTGGGCCTTGCCTCAGACTTGAGATGCTGACTCCTTACCTGGGACACGACCTGCTATTGTGGTCTTTTGGCTCTTGACCTGGCTGCAGGGCTGGATCATCTCTCAGTGGCCGCAGGTATGCTCGTCCATTCTAGTGGGTACATTTCAGTCTGCGTCCTGGCCTGTCTTGGTCAGGGACCTTCTCTGCTGTAACAGGGTCAAGATAACAACCTTCTAAGTCCTCTAATCAGGATTGCCTCTTCTAGACCTGAATTGCCTCTGACACCTTTTAGGCATTCAACAAACATTTACTGAGCATCTACTATGAGCCACTGTGCTAAGCCCTCGGGATATGGAGGTGAACAATATAAAATTCTGCTCTCATAAAGGAGATAGGCACTAAACAAGAAATGAGATCCATATGAGAGAATTTGAGAGCAGTAAGGACTCTGAGGGCCATAAAACGGTAAATGGATAGAAAGTGAGGGAGGGGGCAGGAGGGCAATATATTAGATAAAGTGAACACAAAAGATACCTTTGAAGAGATAACATTTGAGCTGAGACCCGAATGAAGAAAAGCAACCAGGGGTAAGATCAGAAAGAGAACCCCGAGCAGAGGAAAGAGCAAATGCCAAGGCCCTGAGGCAGAAGTGAGGTTGGTGCGTTTGAGGAACAACAAAGAGGCTAGTGTGAGCAAGGGGGGAAATATGGGAGGTGAGGTTGAGAAGTAGGTAAGGCCAGGTCTACTGGCTAGGGTTTTATTTAAGTGCAGTGGGAAGCCAGTGGAAAGTTTTAGCATCATCTAGACTCAGTAACCTTTGGAAAGATTCAGGAGGCTTGCTGACCAGCAAGAAAGAGGGAAAAGCCTCTACTTTTCTTAGCTCCTCTGAGAGGAATAGACACCCTTCCTGGGTAACTCCTGAGTGTGGGCCTCAGGGCTGTCATTTCCATGCTGGCTGGCCCCCATCTTAAAAACCAGACTCTGGGGGCACCTGGGTGGCTCAGTTGGTTAAGCGTCTGCCTTCGGCTCAGGTCATGATCCCAGGGTCCTGGGATCGAGCCCCGCATCGGGCTCCCTGC